ACCACCACGTATTACTAATAGATAACAGAAGTGAAAGTTATCTTATTTCATACTTTTTTTGTGTGCAACCTTATTGATACTATGTGTTGTGCCTTCAAAGTTTTTTTTTTTTTTTTTTTTTTTTTTTTTGTTTTTAATAGATTATGAACATATTCTCCTTTCGTTTTGAGTTTTGAAGTTTTTTAAAATCTTTCTTGTTATGAAGAGTAGATCTTATGGTTGTTATTAATGTTTGAATTTGGTATCTTCTAAATCCACTTTTATATCTAGTTCTTGATGTAATTTTTTTTTATTTGTTGTCAAATACATTCATGGTCTTGAAAGTTATAAAATGCCTTAGAATGATGTTTTAGAATACTAGTGTTGTATTTTTTTTACTAAGTTATATCATTACTGCAATAATATTAAGATTTTATATATTAAATTTCTTACGATGTCTTCTTCTAGTGATAAGAGGTGTTTTATGAGATTAGAAGTATTTTGTAAGAGTTAAAAGTGATTAAAGAGTGAAATCACTAATTTACTCAAAAAGAAGGCAATCTAGATTTTTAAAGTAGCAACATGTTTATCTTGATTTTGAGAGCTTTACTTCATCTTTTTTTGATTTTTTTTATACACCTCTTCTTTAGACATGGCTTTAAGTGAAGATGAAGGCTTGAAAGTGATTAAAAAATTTAGAGGTGACAAATCTTACTATTGGAAGAAAAATATGGAGCTTTTATTGGCTTTATTGGACTTTTGAGACATTGTTGATGAAAGTAAAGAGTCTTTAAGTGACAATGTTGATGTCAAGATGGAAAAGAAGTACAAACGTTGTAAAATGAAGGCTTTTGGAATGATTACAAAAAATCTTGATGATGCCAATTTTTTACATATAATTTTTTGCAATAGACTACAAAAAGCATGGAAGATTCTTTGCAATATCTATAAGAGTAGAAATCTTGCCAACATTCTAAGGACAAAGAAGAAGTTTTTAATGATAAAGATGGAAAACGAGATAATCTCATAGCTCATGTCAACAAGGTAATAATACTTGGTAATCAAGTAGTAGTTATTAACAAATCAATTGATGATAAGGATATTGAGTTGATATTATTCATGAACCTTCCAAAGTCCTATAATTACCTCATTGTGGTATTAGAATCTATGAACATGAAGGAGCTTATTATAAATTATGTATCATTAAGACTAGTCCATGAAGTCATCAAGAGAAAAGAAAAAGAACTTCAAATTGATGATTTGGCTCTATTTTCATGATAAGGTCAATGTAGCTATTCTAACCAACATGATAATTTAAAAAATAATATAAAAATTATTATATTTATAAAAAATATATTATTTTATAAAAAATTACTATAAAGCTAAGAAAAGAAATATGAAGAATATAAATAATGTTTATAATAACTTTGGTGGAAATAACTATGTTTTCATAGCAAATAAAGAAGCCTCCATGGGTGCTATGTCTAAGTACTATTAAGTACATGATACTATATAAATATTCATTTGATACTTATGAAGTCATTCCAACAAAAAAAAATTGATTGAAACACAATGGTATTGTACAAGTTATTAAAATTAGATTTATTTTTGTAGAGATTGTAGTGAAGCATCAAATCGATAGAATCAGATTGAAGGAAGTTTTACATTTGCCAAAAATGAAGAAAAATGTCTTTTTGATAAGCAAAATTATATCATTTGGTTGGAAGATTCAATTTGAAATAAATGGATGTTTTGTGAAGACATTGGGTGGACTAAATGTTGCCAAAGGCTTTAGAGATGGTAACCTCTACTTCATCAATTGTAAAGAGATCAATATAGTTGAAATAGCCACATTTATTGAGTTTCCAAAAAATTAAGATAAATTTGAAATTTGGCATGAAATACTTAATCATTTGAATTTCAAAAGCATAAATAAACTCCATTCTATAATAAGTAGCTTGGATCTTAGTCAATTTAGCTACAATACCATGCTACTTATTTATGAATGTTATATCCCAGACAAACAACAAAAGACTTCATTTCCAAGTAGAATTGCTACATATGCTAGAAAATTATTTGAGATTGTACATTTTGATATTTTATGGACTAATGAAAATGCCATCAATTAAAAGAGCAACATACTTTGTCACATTTATTGATGATTTTTCAAGAAAGACATAAATTTACATTCTTAAAGCCAAGAGTGAGTGTTTCTCAAGGTTTAAAGAATTCAAGGCACTTGTAAAGAAGTAATGTGAGTATAAGATCAAAGTATTGTATATGACAATAGAGGTGAGTATATGTCAAACATTTTGATGAATTTTTGAAGATTCAAGGTATTGTTAGATAAACCTCTATTCTTTATATTCTACAACAAAATAGAATTGCTAAAAGAAAAAATTGCACTATTATCAAGATGATAAAGCATATGCTTCATATACTAAACCATAGACATAAATATTAAACAGAAGCTGAAATTACTAAGATATAAGTGCCTTATAAGTGCACTCAAGTCAATGATTCCATAAGAAGCTTAGAGTAGCAAAAAACCTTATATTTCATACATGAAGATTTTTTGATGGATTACTAATATAAAAGTAGTAGATTGTATGAGATCCAAATTTGATGCAAAATATGAAAAATGTGTATTTATTAGATATTGTGAAGATACCAAGGCATGCAAGCTAATGTGTTTAAAAATCAAGAAGATCATGAAGAATCTTAATATATTATTTTTGGAGCATAAGCATGCTTGTAAGCACTTGGAAATGTATCTAAGTGGAAATAATAGTGTGTTAGTGGATATATCTTCAATTATAGCAAAGAAAGAAGAAAAAAAAGATGATAACAATGAAGATAGTGGAAATATAAATTAAGATGGACAACCAATGAAGGTAGATCAAAGTGTGTCTATAATTTCTAAAACTAGTAATGAAGACAATGAAGATATTGAAAATTATGATGATGAAGAGTATGAATTATTAAATGTGAATACATAAGTTTTAAGAGAATAAGTTTACAAGAGACTTTAAAGTGTATGAAGGTGAATCTTTATGAAGTGAAAGGAGATATCTTTTGAGAGATAAAAAATAATTTAGTAAATAATAGAAGAACCACATTTTTCCTCAAATAAATAAACAACATGTCAATGTTATATTTTTTGTTGATTCATTGATTTTGTATGATGCAATGAAGTCCATCAATGTTATGAAGTGAAAAAATGGTATGAAAGAAGAATATAAATCATCGATAGATAATAAAACATAGGAATTGATGCAACTTCCAACAAATTGATCTTTAATTAGTCGTAAGTAATTGTTTAAAATCAAAAGAGATATAATGAATAATGTTGTTAGATACAAGGTTAAACTAGTTGCCAAAGGCTACTCATAAGTTATTAGTATTGATTTTAATGAGACATTTACTTTTGTAGCCAAATTCACAACTAATAAAATTATTATAGTAATTAGAATAGCAATGGACTTGGACATGCATCAAATAGATGTAAAGATGGCTTTTTTAAATGGAAACTTGAAAAAAGACATCTACATCAATCAATCTCAAGGTTTTGTTGAAGAAAGCAAATAACATCTTATTCATAAGTTGAAAAAATCCTTAAATGGACTCAAGTAATCACCAAAGATATAGTACCAATGTATTGACATATTCTTTATGAATGAAAGATTTGTAAGAAGTAAGGCAAATCATTCTATGTATATGATGCAATCCAATAGGTTTATATTAGTTGTCATCTTTTATATTGATGATTTGATCAACTTAACCAATACCTTGAAGATGATGGATTGCTTGAAAGCAAAGTTAGAAAAGAAGTATGAGATGAGTCATTTGGAAGAGCTTTATTATTATTTAGGATTAGATTTTGAAAGAGATTATGCTAAGAAGACCATTACAATGAGCCAAAGCAAGTACATTAAAGAAGTGTTGAAATGATTCAATATGGAGGAGTATAAGCCTATTAGAACACCTTTGAAAGTTAATTTGAAGTTGATAAAGTTCACAAATGAAGAGTTTTTTGAAGTTAAAGGTCAAATGCAAGGTGTTCTATACAAGGCAACAATAGGCTCATTTATATATGCAATAGTTGGTACAAAGATAGACCTTGCATATGCAATGAATGTTATGAGCTAATACATGTCAATGGTAGAACCAATCCATTTGAAAACCATCAAAAAAATCATAAGGTACTTAAAAAGCATTTTACACTTCAAATTATGCCTTGCAAGTAATAACATTACTTTGCATAGTTATTGTGATGCAAATATGATTAAAGATGCAAATGATAGAAGGTCAACAATAAGATATGTTTTCTTTCTTGGAGTGGGAGCTATTTCATGGAATTACAAGAAAGAATCAACAATAGAGGCAGAGTATATAGCAACAAGCCATAGTGCAATGGAGACAATATGTTTAAAACAACTTTTGAATGACATTAAAATAGTATAAATAGAAGCAACTCCAATAAAGTATAACAATAAAAATTGTCTTACATTTGCAAAGAATCCAAACCTTACAAATACTATTTAAATTTTGTAATAAATTTTGTAATATAAATCTTATATAAAGATTCTAAAAAAATCAAATTAACTTGATTGGATTTTTTGTGGAAATAATAATATGACTATACACTTCAATTCCCTTTTGCAACCTTTTGTATTATTCTAATACTTTCAATTATTTTCGAAATATCACCAAAACTTATTTAATTGTTTCTTTATTTGTTTTCCTTAGATTTAGAATTCAAGACTCAAAAATTCTTCTAAAAACATTCCTAAAACAAAGTGCATTAAAAAAACATAAAAAATAAAATCTCTAAAGCATCATGTTTGTTGAATAATGTATAGACATGTTAATAATAACACAAGAAATGAAGCTTAAAGGTTTCAATTGTGTTCTTTTCTCTAAGTACAATCAGGAAATAGTCTCCAAATAAAAAGATTGTTTAGTTTAATATCAGTCTAATCCTCATCCAACACCCACTTTCTCATGCAGCATTCAAGGTGTCCTTGAAAGGTTTAGGAACCTATATTTTTATAACATTACCTTTCCAATAGCAGTTACAACATAACTCATCAATACCACATTTGACGGTAAGATATACAAATCCTAAAAATGCAGCATCGTCTTCTCTTCACAAGTTTTACAATATCGTCTTAGAAAATTACACCTCAGAAATAGAAAACATGTAACAGAATCATAGGGTACACCTTGCAGAGAGCTTGAACTGCCGCTCGATCCAACGCCAGTCAACTTACATTGCACACTCTGGATTAAGCTGAAAAAAGGACTTCAGTTCTGTAATGAAGAGGGGTAAAAGACGAAGCAAGTTGAACAGTTCTGTATGGAACTGAAAACGAAGCGGATCGTGATCTTGTCTGCAACCCAGCTTATAAATATCAGTATTTTTCCCTTCAGACCAAAGAATCATTCACGGATCGGCAAACCCAAGCAACGTTCCATCGAACTAACTACAAATCTTCACGCTCGTGAACCATTTTTGATGTTAACATAACTGTGGGCGCCAGACGAACGTCTACACCTACCATGAGAGCGATCTTTACTTCTCCATAGAATCTCACGCATCACCTCCATCAATCCCCAGAAAAAATTGAAAAACGCTTGGTCAACTCCACCAGCCCTTCACAGAAGCAATGAGGTGTCGTGTGTAAAAGACAAAGACACTTCAGTGAACAGGTATAGACCTCACTTGTATGATCCGCTACAGACTGTCAACTGCTGCCTGTACAAGTGCGAAAGCAATGCCGTAAATATAGTGAAAGTTGATGCATATGCAAGATCTAGCTGGTCTAACACCTGAAACAGAGGCTATACATTCAATGCTACTTTACCTACCACAATTATCACAATCCAAGAGCATGATCCAGGAAATAATAACACAAACAAAAAAGAAGTACACTTTACAACTGACCCATAGAGACACTTGGAAAAAACCGTGACACTCAAACCATGAAAGACAAGACAACTTCAAAATGAACAAGCGCCGCTCCGCTGGCTAGGAGGAGATAACTAAGCCAAGAAGCAGAGGGTCAACATGCTCGGACTCCCAAACGAAACAAAAGAGAAAAGGATTCCTAGCAAAAACCCTCAATGCCAAAAAGCATAATTTCGTGGAAATAGATCAGCATATCACAGGTATTTTTTAAAAAATCAATCAATATTTTTTTATTCTCTCCTGCAAGAGAAGCAATCTAATCACGTAGTGGAACAAGTGCATACAAATAAACACTTCCTTCTCACCACCTCCACTTCCTCCCTACATCTATGCACAATATGACACCAATCGCTCTAATGAATGTATAATACTGCACATCATCACCTCGCGCTGCACAACACCGTCCTGCCACACCATTCCCTCCTTCACACGCCTCCCAGCAGCCTCTTCAACCCTGCCTTCTGCTCCGCGCTCAATCTCGTCGGAAAGTCAATGTCGAACTTGATCCGCAAATTGCCTCTCCTACCCGGCTCCTTCGCCACCGGCATTCCCTCCTTTGCCAGCACCTTCTCGTATCCCGGATGAATCACGTCCGGTATGCTCACCGTCAGAGACCTCCCGTCCAGTGACCCCAACGTGAAGCTGCACCCTGACAGTGCCTCCACCAGCGATATCTTCTTCGTCACGATTAGGTCATTTCCGTCCCGCTTGAACGTGTCGTGAGGTTTCTCGTCGATCACGAACACCAGGTCGGCAGCCAACATGCCCGGTTGCTCATTGCCCTTCTCGGGGAATGTGATCTTCGTTCCCTTCTTCCACCCAGGCTTCACCTCAATTGTCAGGATTTCCTCCACCGGCATCGTCTTGCCGCTGGCATCCGCAATACTCCTCGAAATCTTCATCTTCCTCGTGGACCCCTTGTACAGCTCCTCTAAGCTGCACAACAGCTTATTCTCCACCGGGGCGGCCTTACGGGGCTGCGTATGTGAAGGCCCTTCCCCAAATGCCCGAAATCCCTGGCTCCCATCAGAGCTCCGGAACACGCTCTCACCACCTCCAAACCCACCGAACATGCCATCGCCGAAGTGCCCTCTTCCACCTCTGCCACCCACACCCCCCATTCCTCCGAATGGACTAGCCCCACCGAAAAACTCAGCGAAGATATCTTCAGCATTCCTAGGATTGAACCTAAATGCGTTGGGACCTCCTCCCGCACCATTAGAGTAGCCATGCGATGAGCCCGGGTGTGCAGCATGCCCTTTCAACCCCTCCTCCCCTTCCTGATCGTAGATTATCCTCTTCTGCGGATCGCTCAACACCTCGTACGCCTCCGATATCTGCTTAAACTTCGCCTCCGCCTCCTTCTTGTTGTTCGGATTCTTGTCAGGATGCCATTTCATCGCCAACTTCCTATACGCTTTCTTCAAATCATCCTCCGTTGCCGTCTTCGGCACCTTCAACACGCTATAATAATCAACCCCCATTCCTTCCCCGCTTCAACACTTCTCCTTACTCACTCCCTCTCACGCTTCCAGATCCCCCTTCAATCTCTCCCGAGTCTGCGACACACGACGCAGCAGCAACAACTCCCGATCGAAGCAAAAACAACCCACTACTCAATCACTCAGCTCTGTGGCTTTGTCCAATCCACTGCTATCTTAACCCTTCCTCGCCACACACACATACACCCACTCAGGCTCGGCACCATCAGCGACGTGCACAACGCTAACAATGCTGTTGCTCCTGCTGCTGCTCCTACTGCTGGTGTGCAAGGGGAAGGACACTGGCCATGGCCAACCTACTACTTCAGCACTGCGACGGGGGACTTGAGCAGCAGCAGCAGAAGGGGAATGATGAGCGTCGGGCACGACGCAAAATTAGGGTTTAGGGATCCCAGGTTAAAACACGGATTATTTACCTCCCTCTCTCCCCCACTCTCCCTCCCTTTCTTTGATTGTTTGTTTGTTTGTTTTTCCTTTGCTTCGGTCTGGGTCTTCCTTCGTCTTTGCATTCGTGGTAACCGGGCCCTGGATTCCATGTCGAGGGTCCTAATTCCGACGCCCCTCTTCCTCCTCCACACCCCAAACACCAAACAAGACATATAACGAGATGCCCTTAATCACATAGAAAGGCCCATTTCGCAACTTGCTTGCAGAAACACCATAGTCATCGTCTGGGAAGGACCTTTTGAAGATGTTTGAACATGTAGGCTTTGGTTTCTTGGCTCCACCAACGTAAACTTTAATTTGTTCTTGTTAACTTTTATAAGAAGTTTATAACTATATATTTGAATACTCTTATATATATATATATATATATATATATTTAAAGTGGTGTTCGGTAATAGTGTTAATAAATATAATACTTGACTTGAAATTGGTATATCGTTACAACTTTTTTGTATTATAATTAAATTATATTTTTCATATTTTAAAATGCTTTGTTTTAAACTTTCTGCATCAAAGCACAAAAGAAATTATTTTGCTAAATTTTAATGATTTTTTGTATTAATAAAGAGACTTCCTTTTTCTTGGATAGTTTATTATAAGCTTATAAAAAAAATAAAAAATAAAAAATAAAAAACCGTTTTGCCTTTTTTATTCATACATTGTAACATGTACTTATATGACTTAGACATCTTAAAAAACATTTTTCTCAAAAAAGAATATATATATATATATATATATATATATAATAAAATACTAAATGGAAAATTTATTGATTAATCATTTTTTAAAATCTCAAATGAATCTTTTCAACAATCAAAGTTCTATAAGCATTTGATTTTATATACAAAACAGAATTACCTGTGATTCTACAAAGAATAAATTAATAATATGAGTGCATTTTTATACAATTTCTTCTATGAATAAAAGAAATATAACATGTATAATGAGGTATTATATATATAAACATACATACATACATACATACATACATACAGGTATAATATTGGAAAAAACTCATATTTATTGTCTTGTTACAAAATATCTTCTAATAATTCTTCTCTGAAATTATCTTTATATTTTATTCTTATATTTATAAGTAATATAATTATTATTCAATTTTAATGGACTGTTATTTAATAAACGAGAATGTATATTTCAAAATTTCAAACCTTTATTTTTGTAATATATGAATAATATATACTTCAACACTTGAATATTCTGTGGTAATATCTAGGGCCTTTTGTAAGCTTTATATGTTAGATAAAAAAGAATCATATTTTTTTTTCTTTATTTTAAGAATTAATAATCTTTAAATATTTAATATTTTAATTTTTAATATTAAAAAATAATTTAATCTATAAACATATGATAATACAATTATTTAAGTTTGAGTAATGATATTTTGAATACTTATTAATAATGAATTTTATTAATCAATAAATATTATATTTTATGGTTTAAAATTTTTAGACTATTTTAAAAAATAATTATATATATATATATATATATATATATATGTAAATTTTATTTTTATTTTTATTATTTTATAATTTCTCATGTTCTTATGTTATAACACATCTACTTGGTAAAAAAATTAAATAAAAAATGAAATATTAATAAATCTAATCTATTATTTTAGATTTTAATCTAATAGTTTATATAGAAGTTGTATATAGTTGAAATTTAATAATTTGAGTTAGAATATATTAAAAGGATTATGGTTGAAAAAAGATAAATTTCAAAACACGATTAAAATATAATAGACTACAATGAAGATATTTTATATTAATAGATATTAAAAACTTTCAAATTTTATAAAATAATTATAGATATATATATACAATAATATTCCAAAATTAAAAGTTAATTGTAATTCTAAATATATATATATATATATACAAAAATAAAAAAAAAATTCTAAAATAAATAAAAACAAATAATGGTCTTTATAAATGTGAGTTCCATTAATGCATCTTAATTGATGGATTAATTAAAAATAAATTTTTTGAATTATTACATAGTAAAATATTAAGTTTAAAAAGTTTATTTGATTATTTCAGCACTTATTAGGATTTGGGAGATCTTATAAGTTACACAATCTTGTTAAAAAAAAGAATTATAATGAAAGAATCTTATTAAGTCTTAGAAGTAATTATCTCAGAAAATTTAGTCATTTTTTCTTAATTGTGATAATTAGCATTTAGTTATTGAGACCAATATCTAAATTGGTATTCTACTCACATTTATATCTCATTAAAAACTTATAAATGTTAATTAGTATGTATTGAAAGCATAAGAAAGAAATATTTTGGCTCTTTATTTATTAAGCTACAAAATTAGAACGTGAATTAGTTTAAATAGATTTTATTACTATAAAAAATTATCAAGTTAGATTACATTATCTTAAATTTATGTGAATATCTTAAAAATATTAGATAAAAATTATAAATTTATTTAGAAAGTTTTAAAAAGTTTTAGAACATATTTAAAAAACTTTGATAAAACAATTTTATCACTTTGGAAGGCCATCATAAAAGATTGGAACAATGTTTGAAGGTCCTTTAAGATTTTTTGGCTATTTGGACATCTTTAAATACTAAGGGTAAGTCAATCATAAGAAAGATAATGTTTTATTAGTAGAAAACATGATAATCAGTGACTTGAATAATAAAAGTAGGAATGGAGGTACATATATCTTATGTTAATTGTAATACTTTGGATGTATGTATGAAGAAAGGACTTAGGTCTTATATTCCACTAAATAAATGTATATATGTTAGTAGGCATAGAGAGAACAAAGGCAATAAATTACACTATTGCAAAGTAGTTGTGTATATATGATATGGTGCCGAAGTTATAGAATTGGATATACATTTTGTAGCTAAGATGAGAGAGCTTAGGAATAAGTTTATAAGAGGTAAGCTAGACCAATTTTGAGGGACTATGGAATGATATATAGTGTATTATTGAGATTATAATAAGTATGAGTAATTGGAAATAATAACTTTGGAAAACATGGTTTATCTAAGGCTTTGTAAAGTAAAAATGTGCATGCAATGTTGTGTTAGTATCAAGGACATGAATCTCGAAGAAAGAGAATCCTCAATATACTCTTCTATCACTGAAAAGAACTAGAAAGTCACTCAAAAGGTGATGTAATATTAACTAGAATGGCTATTGTCAAAAACAAGAAGACTAGAAAGTCTTGAAACAAGACTAAGATTAGAAAGACATTGATAAGAGTAAAAAAGGCTTCATCCTTGCCTCCATATATACTATCTAACTAAGAGCTACATGGCGATGTTCTATAGGACCTCCAATATGTGTTGACTTTGCTAGCCATATGTCTTATCTTGCAAGGCAAGTTATCTATGTATGTGCCACGTAGTTGGCTTGTTCCACAAGCTACTATATGGAGATAACTTATTCCACAAGCTACCAATACTTGGTTAGCTTTTTGGCCAAGTTTTTAACCTACAAACACATCTAAAATCAAAACCACATCTATGAAGCTTCTAAGAAGCTTTTCTAGAAGACTTTATGAAATTATTCTATATTTACCTACTTCTACTTAATCATATAAGTAACTATTGAGGTAAATGTATATGTCTGTGATAGATAGTGCAACAATTGATGAAAATACGGTTTCAACTTTACTTCATGAATGGTTGGATTTTATTGCTTCATAAGATCTGGTCATTGTATAGTGTTGGGTTATGTGAATGTTTAAAAGATAATATAATAAATAAAAAATGGAATTGGATTAAATTGAATAATGTCTTAACAACAAGGTAGATGTATGAAATAAAATATGCAGTGATATGTGTTTATTGGTATATTTTAACTTATTTTATTTTATTTAATTAAATAATAGATTTATTCTTTTTTATATATTTATTTTAGATGATTTTAATTTTTAGCTTTATATTATATAAATATTAATATAAATATATGTATTATTTGAAGATATGATTAATACTTCCAATTTTTTTTATTGCCACCATAATTTGTTATCTACCACAAATAACCATATTTTTTGCTACTACTACCATAATGTATCATTTATTATATTTTGATGATAGTATTGATTCAATGAAATGGATGCATGTCACTTTCTAGAAACTCATAATAGAAATTTTTCAAGATCTCTTTTAATAATTTATTGAGGTATTAATTGATGATTTTGAGGTGTATAATAGCAAGCAATGACTTGATGAATGTTTGAAATAAATATTTAAAAGATGGTAGGAAGTTAATTTAAAATTAAACCTAAATTTTTTTTTTTCATTAAGATAGAGATCAATATTTTTCTTGGACATATGGTGAGCATGGAAAGAATGCTAGTGGGTGTAAAAAAAATAAAAATGATACTAACTTTGATTTCTTCTTCTTTAAAGTTTTAAATAATAGAGGTTGATTAATTATTATAAAAAAATAAAATTTAATAATTGATAAACTACTAGTTATACTAAAATAGAATATGACACATATGAATATTTTTATCAAAATAATAAATTCAAGAGATGAAATTATTCTACTACAAAATCAAATCAAATCAAATCAAATCAAATCTTTAATAAAATTAATTATTATGCCTATGTATATTATAAGTTGGTTTATCAGCCAAATATAGTAATCATAGTTATATAAAAATCTATAAAATAAATAAGTATATATATATATATATATATATATATATAGCTTTCTAGACAAGAATTTTAGAATTTAGATTTAGAATTTAAGATTTAAGAGTTTAAAGTTTGTGATTCACAATTTAGAGATTTAGAATATATGATTTTAAAAATATGAATTTAATAAATTTTAAATTTAGAATCTAAATTTTAAAAATTTAGAGAACTTAGGTGGATAGATTGAACAACTTAAGAAAAAGATATGCTTATAATGACACTTTAAAACTTCAAAAATT